GAATCGTACGGTGTCGAATAATTTGGTGTCGAATAAATCTGTGTCGAATCGAGCGGTGTCGAATCGTACTGTGGTCAAACGGAACCCGCCCGCCACCTGGATATAAGATCTCGGAAACACCGGCACAGATCATTTATCTTCCGATCATTGTGCAGAGCATTACGGATCTACCAATATGCATTGTAGATCAGAACGGACAATTGCTTGATTTTCGAGGAGAAGAAATAACTGTCAGGTTACACGTGCGACGCCAACGACTATAATACACGGCATGCTCGTGCTGAACAAGGCGGATCAAGTGACACGAGATACAAAGTTTGCATTACAAACACTAGCTACTACTACTACAACGTAGAGTAATCGGAAGAAGCTAAGGTCGATAAACGTTAAATTTTTACAATCGTTGGGATTTATTGTACGAGAAGTTTGAAAACATGCGCGACATTTTAAATGTTGGGGGCGAGCCGACTTTTGATGATCGCATCGTCAAGATTGAAACTCACACGTACAATCCGTATGTGAACACAACATTTGAATACAGTGATGAGATACGCATACCTATACAACAGCAGGACTTGTACACTTTACCGTGTCAAAGTTTTCTTTACGTCAAAGGAAAAATAACGTTACCGACAAACGATGAAGAAGAAGTATATCTGGGTACTAATTGTGTAACTTTTATGTTCAACGAGATTCGCTACGAACTCAATGGTATGGAGATTGATCGGAATAGAAACGTTGGAATAACTAGCACGATCAAAAATTATATATTGCTAACACATGATAAACGCATGGCCATGAAGAATGTTGGTTGGGATATTAAACAACATGTGGACGTAGATAGTTACCTTAGTTTCTGCGTACCACTCAACGTGTTATTAGGATTTTGTGAGGACTACAAGCATACGGTTATTAATGCACGTCATGAACATATTTTAATACAATCGCGCAACGACAAAAACTGCATAACAGCAGTTTTGCAGGTAGATTGTAAGGCATTGAATGGAAACATTGAATTATTCAAAGTGCAATGGCGAATGCCACATGTAGTGTTGCACGATGTCACGAAGCTCTCGCTACTACAAACTCTGGAAAGCGGGCGATATGTGACCATGAGTTTCCGTTCATGGGATCTCTATGAGTTTCCATTAGTACAAAGCACTACTAAACATTCGTGGGCCGTAAAAACGGCGACACAACTTGAGAAACTGAGATACGTCATATTTGCGCTACAGACTGCGCTGCAGCTGCAAGTCAGCTGCTTCTTGGTTGATAACGCATCTTCACAGGCTGCGTTGGGAAGATGGAAATGTTGCATACCGCAGAACGAAACATTTAATTACAACAGCTATTTGCGACACTGCAAAAAATGATGACAACGCATCTTTACTTGTCTATGTTAAAGGTCCTGAAAAATGTAACTGGCTAGCTGATATTCTCAATAATGACGTACGTGGATTACTTATTAAAACATTGGATGCCGACTACGACGATATTGCTTCTTTAAATAAATTGAATGTATTGAATTGTCTACGATGTGAAAAACATGTGAAGCATTGCGCATTACAAACTACTGTATTTAAAATATTTACTTGGTGGTCTAAACAACAATAAAATGTATGCAACTTTTTGAGTTGTACATTCACTACCTTGTTCCATAGCATATTTATATAGATTAACGGTATTAATCGCGGTTTAACGTGGTTTTATAGGTGATCATAGTTCGTTTCTAGTTAAACATAGTTCGTTTATAGTTGAACGTGGTTCATTTATGGTTCAATTATGATTCCTGGGAGTGGTGCACCACTTTGTCGTGGTTCCCAGGCTTGAGTACCGTGATGATCTAAGGGGCTATGCCGACGGGAACTTCGGTTTCTGGCAGGGTCTCCCTTGCCGGACAGATCCTCAGTGAGCGGTCAGACTAAGAGTGTACCTAAGGGAAGGAAAACCCTGATTCCAAACCCGGGCAGGACGGGCTCGTTACCCTTGGTCGGGAACCGTCCTAGGTCAGGTTCAAGACCGAAATAAAACAGCTTCTTTTCCCAAATATGAAAATGAGCGAAAAAAAGTAGTGGATTTACCGGACCAGGTCGACCGGACGGCCAGGTCCCGGCGAGGAGGAACTAGTGTCCCGGGTGCCCCCGCGTTGTCATCCGACGACGGGCGGGTAGAGGGATGTACCGCAGGCCCCTCTACCTATTTTGCGACTGCGAAGACGGACGCGGTGCGTCCGGTTCGCCCACGCGGGAGAGCTAATCCCCGCGTGATACTCTGGAGGGTGGACTCGGCGGGGTCTATGACCTTCGTCGAATCCACGGAGTCTTTGGGTGTTTCCCTGCCGGATGGGGACAATATGGGAGTTTCCTTCAGGGATGAGGCCTCTACTTGCCCGTCCGATGAGGAAGAATTGGCAACGTGGGCGGCTGCCCAGTTGTCAAAGCCCGAGGGGCGCGGTCGCCCTCCCACACACGGCCAGTGTATCGGTCTTGGGAGGTCCCGCGGCGCGTTTCGCAATGCGCGTCTGGCGCAGAAGCGACAGGCGGCGGAGGCCACGGGGGGACCCTTCAAGAAGCACACAGCGACCGGGTCGGAGTCCGGCCGCACTTCGGACGACGCGTCGACCCGCGGTCTCCGGCGGACGTGCCTCCGCGTTGGTGGGAGCGACGTTGAGCGCGAGTGCAAAACTCGCTCCACTATAGACCTCATCGACCTTATCTATAAGGCCGTTGGGGTCTGTGATGAGGTGGCGGGACGCGCCGAGAACCTGAAGAGCACGGATGTGAAGGCTCTTCAAAAAGCGGGTCGGGACAGACGTAGGGTGGCGGATGTGCTCTATGTCCGCTTCAAAAGCAATCATGCGGCGAGGAGGGCCCCGGTCCTCCCGCAGATCTACAAGGAGAACGAGGAGCTTCGACTGGAGGTCAGGCTCCTCAGGGAGGAGATGGCCGCTCTTCAGGCCAAGGTCTGCATGCCGCCTCNTCCCCCTCCTGTTGCGGGGCCGGTGGGGTGCCTGATAACCTCCTCGAGAGGATCGGCGCTCTCATCGACGCCAAGCTTGCCGCATTTGTCCCCCCTGCCTTGGCCGGAAAACGGGTGAGTGCGGGGGATCCGCGCACGCGCAAGNCGGCGGGTGCGCGGTTGCGCTCGGTCTCCGGGCGGCGGACGAAGACAACGGCCGAGGCCAAGGTGTGTCCAAAGGCCGTCTCGGGGTCCCAAGTACTCGCGAAGGTAGTGGACTTGGGTCCGCCGACCTCAAAGGCGGCGGACACGTGGTCCACAGTTATAGGCCGTAAGGCCAAAAGGAAGGCGACGGGTGCGACAGGGGTTCCAGCCTTTGTGGCCCGACCCACTTCTGGGGCTCCTACCCCGGGCGGACAACCTCAGAAAGTTGGGAAAAGGAAGCGACGGGTCCGGCTCCAGGCTCCCACAACTGCCGCAGTCGTGGTGGCCCGGGATCCGACCGTTCTAGCCTCCATCGAACTAATAGAGGCGATTAGGAGGTGCCGGCTGGCGATACCTCTCGAACCCTTAGGGATTCGGGAGGTTCGCCCACGCCGAATCATGACCAGGGACCTGATGATTCAGGTACCCGGCCCAGACATAGCAGCCAAGGCCGACGCTTTGGCTGCCAAGATGGAGGGAGTCCTCGCAGGGACGGGAATAAAGATCCGTCGGCCCTCGCGTCCCGGAAATGTCCGGATGCGGGGCATTGACGACACTGTCTCTCGCGAGGAAGTACTAGCGGCGCTCGCCTCGGCGAGCAAGTGTCCGGAGGGAGAGGTTCGCTTGGGCGAACTTTGGGCTCTTCCTTCCGGACTCAAGACGGCCTGGGTCCAGTGCCCAATCTCGGCGACCAAGCGGCTGGTCGCCGCCAAGACGGTGCCGATGGGGTGGGTGCTAGCGCAAGTGGAGGCGCTGAAAGCCCGCCCCCTCCGGTGCTACAGGTGCCTGCGCGCGGGACATGTGGACAGTTCTGTCCTGCCTCTGAAAAGGACCGCTCGGAGATTTGCTTCTGATGCGGTCTGACGGGGCACGTCCTGCGGCAGTGCACCGCACTTGAGCCGCGGTGCCCATTGTGCACCGACCTGGGCCGCAAGGCCCGTCATGTGTTGAGGAGCCCATTGTGTCAACCCCCGCCCGCCCGGGTTGGCGGTCTTGCTACTACGTTTGCAGGGCCGTCACAGTTGGCACCCGGTGTCGCCGGGCGGGAGAAACGGCGGTCGGTCGGAAAACTTCCTCTCCAAGAGGATGTCTCCGGTCCGGCCGAGGGGGGATGGAAGCGGAACCCCTAGGGGCTGTGTCCGCTCCATCTTCCCCACTTTCTTCTCCGTTGTTGACGGACGGGGCCTCGGCTCCTTCTGGTCCCGGGGGACTTTGTCTCCCCGGTACTAAGGAGCCGTCCCCGGCACCGGCGGTGTCCTCGCCGCCGGCGCCTAAGAAGGCGCCCGCTGGGTCACGAAAGGTCCAAGCGGGGCTGGCCCTTGCTGCCCTCCTGAGGCATACAGGGCCGAAGAGGGCAAAACCCGGTCCCAGTTGCTCCAAGCCCTAGTGCGGGCTTGGTTCAGCGACGCCCGGGCGTAGTTTGGGGGGTGGGCTTCCCTCGTGCTTGAGGGAGGCCAGTAGTGTTTGGAGTCAGGTCCGCCTCGGCGTCTGACCTGGGGCCAAGAGAGGGACAATTTTCCCTCTCATTGAATTTGGCCCGCAGACGATGGGGGTGAGGTTACGACACTCTTACTCCCCGTCAAGGAAGAGCTTACTCCTCATACCAAGGAGGAGGGCCCAGCTGGGCCCTCAGCCTACCGGTGCATCCTGCGCGTAACCGTAAGAACATCCCGGGGTGCACCTAAATGGGCAGCAGTCGGCCGTCCAAGGGGTTTTAATGAGTATACTCCACCAGGGTGAGCTCTGGTGGGGCAGTCCCACACTACCCCATCTCGCCCCAGCGGGGTGGGGTGAGCGTAATGCATTTCCTCTGGGTTAAAAAAAAATGGTTCAATTATGGTTAAACATAATTTGTTTATGGTTGAACGTGGTTTGTTTATAGTTCAATTATAGTTAAGCATGAGTTATTTATGGTTAAACGTAGTTTGTTTATGGTTCAATTATGATTAAACATGGTTCGTTTATGGTTAAACATGATTAAACATGGTTTGTTTGTGGTTACACATGGTTCGTTTATGGTTTGCTTATAGTTACACATGGTTCGTNTGTAGTTTATTTTNTGGTTCNATTTTGATAACATGGTTCGATTATGGTTAAACATGGTTNGTTCATAGTTTGATTATGGTTAAACATGGTTTGTTTATNGTTTATCATAATTTGTATTTTTTAGTGTTACACGATATGACAGTTTTGGCCATGGTAGTATANACTTTCATATAGCTGCAATGAAGCAGATAAACCATTTTGTTATCGAGAAGAACACGTGTGCATTCGCGCATTTTTGTNGCACGTTTATATGCAAAATGATCNGACCAACAGCGTCTTGTTGCGACNTGGTTGTACTTTTTAATTTCATGCGCACTTNGGTATAAAATAATCGCAAAGCTGGAGAGAAACTAATAGACCATGTACAAACGTGGCAGTCCGATAAAAGTTTATCATCTTTCAGGACGCGAGAAAAGACACAGATTCTAAGTGTGCAACTGTACATTCGCGCATTTTCGACACGTTTATATGCAACATGATCCGACGAACAGCGTCTTGACGCGACATGGTTGTATTTTTTAATTTTATGCACACTTAGGTATACAATAATCGCAGAGCTGGAGAGAAACAGAGAGACTATGTACAAACGTAGCAGTCTGATAAAAGTTCATCATCCTTCAGGACGCGAGAAAAGACACACAGATTCTAAATACATTTAAAGAATAAGGTATAAAAAAATGAGCTGCTTGATGACTGCTACTCAGTCTCATCTAAAACATGGACATTGAGAATGCAACGAGATTGGCGAATCAGTGGCACCGGCGGCATGTATCCTAGCTAACACGGTGGATACGCTAATGGTAAAGATTCGCCGATTGCAAGAATGGAGGAGATTGTAAGGAAAGATGAAAGAGCCGAATTTGAGTGGACTGGTAGTCATCTTCCCCACAACTTGTAAGTACATCAATAATATTTTTAACTTTTTATACAACTATCACGTACGGTTAACTAGTTTTAGAAAGTATACATTATATTTTTCTGTTTCAGAACTATAGCCAACAATAGCATCAGGGATATCACGCAAATACTCCAAATAGAGGTACAACATGTAGAGGGGATTCAAGAACAACTGAACACTACACTTGGGGAGATTCACATGTCCAACAACACTCCTCCTCCATCTCCGGAACCACAATAGGTAAAAAGTACTCATTATATTAGTCAAATAAAAAGTATACTATTGTGTATTGCATAATTAATTATATATGTGTCTTGTTACAGGGATGTCCTCGTTGCCAGGAGATACACACACACACACACATCTCATTTATTACGTTTAATTTTGTACTTTTTGTTTATATGTTTATAATTTTTATATTGTATATCTTTTGTTTTTTGTTAAATTTGTATACAGTTTCTTATATGATCAAAACAAATAAATATTCTTTTATACTACACCTGTGAGTTTTTACTGTGCAACCTTTGATCCCACCTCCGATTCCCAACTGTCCTTATAACTATATACTACATACGATCAAAAGACAAACTAAGTAAACTAAAAATAAATAATTACAAACGTTACTAAATTTATTTTGTGGGAATATAAACATAGAACAAATAAAATCACTTTTATACTACAACTGTGAGATTTTAAGGTGCAACCTTTGATTCTACCCCGATTCCTGACTTTCCTTATAAATATACATATATTACATAAGAACACATTCAAAGACAAAACTAAATATACTAAACATAACAAATAAATACACAAAATTAGGAAATTTATTTTCGTGGAAATATATAAGGCATGTAAATACTATTTTTCATGAAGAAACTTTGCACATTCTTGCTAAAACTCTACAACTTTACGCGCGTATATTGTTACATACTGCTTATACATAGAAACAATCTTAATAAAATGGAACTATAAAAAATGAATAGTAAAATAGGCTTTGTTACTTTGCGCTAAAAAATTAAAACACCGCAACTGTGCACGTTCTCGCTAAAAAAACTGCAACTCTGCAACTTTACGCGCACTGCGTATAATGTTACATACCGCGGCACATGCTTAAAACATATTTCTTGTAGTTGTCTTATTGTTACGCAACATTAAAAGAATAGCTCACATATATCAGAGTGTACAACAGTAGCGCGATTATAAATTGCAAATTATTGGCATGCGCTTTAAAAGGTGTTATATATGATGCATGCAAATAATATTTTCCATCATGAATAAAATTTAAAAAGTGAATACTACGTTTTTGTTATTTCTCGCTAAAACAATTGCAATTCTGCCACTTTCCGTCTTGCTAGAAACTGCAATTCTGCAACTGTGCGCATAGTGCGTATTTTTGATGTGACAAAATTATTGATATCTGATATTCGACAGAAGTGCAGAATTTATGAGTCATATGTAACAATTGTTATTAACAATTGTCTACGACGCAGTTAGCAATTTGTGCTGACACCAGCATTTATTTGTTTAATTTAATATATAATAAGATTATGTTACTTTAATTCGTGATCAAGTTGATGAAATCTGATATCCAATAAAAACTGCATATTTTGCAGAATTTATGAGTCATGTCTCCATTATTTTTTCTAATACGCAATTAGCAAGTTTTTTGTTGGTATCAGCAGTTTTTTAGTTGCAACACTACATAGTTGCTGTAATTTATTCTGTAGAAATATATACTGCATATAAATCATATATTTCATAAATAAAACTTTAAACAAGGAAATATTACGTCTTNGTTACTTCTCGCTAAAACAATTACTTCGCGCTAAAATAAAAAATGCAATTTTGCAACACTCTTGCTAAAAATTGCAACGCGGCGTATAATGTTACATACCGCAGCACATGTCGAAAAACATATGTGCACAAATACATAGTTGCTGCTTTTTTTATATAACAACATATATTTCTTGGAGTCGCCATAATGTTGCGCAACATTCAAAACTGTTACTTCGCGCTACAATTAAAACTGTGCACGTTCTCGCTAAAATGTGCAACTTTACGCTCACTGCGTANAATGACACGTGCCAAAAAAAATATGTGTAATAGTTGTTTNATGGTATATAAAAACGTGTCTTGNAGTCGCCATATTGCTACGTAACANTAAAANTATCATGCCGCAGTAACAANTACATACCTTGAAATCNCCATATTGTCGAGCCGCCGCCATATTGTCGAACCGCGTGTCGTTTTTANTGCGCGTGTAAAGTCGCCATANAAGGGGTCTTCCGCCGCGTGACGTCATATCCTGCAGTGCCCCGCATGACGTCATCGTAATGTNATTANTNGCGTGACGTCACTGCCANGCTTNCCNCGTGACGTCATATCNTGTGACGTAAAAGCCACGCCCCCGCGTGACGTCATTACCCACTCCCCGCGTGACGTCATTACCCCTCCCTCTGTNACGTCATACCCCGCACTCCTNTCGGAGCCTTATNGATTAGATCTCTCATATATACACTACTTGTGCATGTGTCTTTAAACGACATGCATGTTTGGTTTTATATTTTTGTGTGTGTGTTGTGTGNTNGCTCTTAGTGANCAGTAAGATCAAAATCAAAATAAACTAAAATAAAATTTTAANGTAGCGCTTTTCTTATTACTAGACCGCAACTTAAAATTTACTTNTTACTTAAGTAAACTTAACACAATAAAAGTAAATAATTAATAATTAAATTTATTAAAATAAAATTATTAATGGTTTTCATCCAACACCTTTCATAAAATAAAATAAAATCAAAAATTAAATCAAATATGAAAATCATAACGCTTAACATAAAATATGTGATATAAACTATAAAACTGTGATATAATACTTTGCGACCTTTTGTTAACCGAGACACGCTTTCCCGCGCGCTTTTCT